GGCACATGTTGACCTTAGCTCCGGCTGGGCATATGCAAAGGTTCATTGGCCATGGGCGGCTATTGTTGGACTCGACTCGGGCCAGGTTAAAATTGTATGCTGTTTATGAATTTCAGCAACTTTTTGGCTCATTTCAAATTTACAAGTTTTAATTGAAAAAAAAACACCAAGTGGAATTTGTGCTGATATATGGCTGCGGCAGCAACTGGAGGAGGACATTAAATCAACAAGTGACTGCAGTTCAACTGCGTCAACTTCTTCCTTTCTGACTTCGCCTCGGTCTCAGTCTCTGCCTCGGTCTTGCTCTTGGCTTCTGTCTCGCTCTTGGCCCGCTGTGTCGTGTCACGTTGCGGCGTCGTCGCTGGTTCTTAATTACCGGAAGTTGCTGCCTGGTCGACCCAAACCCACCCGCCCCTTTTGTCCAGGTAACAAGCTGCAATTAGTGTCCGGGACACACCCACAACAACAGCAATGGCGAGTAAGCGGATAGCCGGCCAAGCAAGTACTTAGATACTATGTGTACTTGCAAGTGGCTTACAAGTTGCCACATTTGTTGTTGCCACATAGCTCTTGTTCCTGGTTGCAACACTGTTGCTGCTTCGTGTGTTTCGACTGCCCAGCATTTACAACTTTATTTTAGTCAACAATTCTGGTATTTGCGAACTTAAGTTGGAACCCTGACATTTACGTAAATTGATTTGCCTGCCATACACGCAAAGGTTAAATTTAAAGGGAGTTAACTATTTATAACAAAGAATTTTCTAGTGGAATTTTACGTTTACAATAAGCCCAAGCAAATGAATAAGTGTGACCAATACCTCACGAATAATAAGAAGCTTAAAAATAATAATTTGCCTCTTTCACTTCAATCTTCAAATGAATAACTTTTTCAAAGACTTGCTCAGCTGCTGCCATAGTCAAGCGTACTGATTATAGGGTATAGACAAACTGCCATAAATACTGCAGTTAATTAATTCAATACCTTATCGAAGACAAATTGTGTGGCATTGCGCCCAGCGAGTGCCCCGTGCCCCGTGCCCCAAGACGGCGGCTGTCGTCGGCTGCACATGTGTCGCATTATTTTTTATGGTCAATTTCAATTATCTTCGCATGCCGTTTAATTGCATTAATTAAACCAACACGAGACTTGCTTAACATTCATTATTTTCTGTGTGCATTTTATGACATTTATGCGCTTCTGGTCGCCAGCACAAAGCACAGAGCAATGGCATCCGCATCCACATCCACATGCACATCCACATCCCGAACTGCATCCTTATCAGTGAGTCTTTCCTTTGCGCTGGGGCCGCATTTCCGCCGTTAATTGAATGCAGAGGAGTCCACGTGAGAGGCGCAGGCGAATTTAACCAAAGAGCAGGCACATCTGTGCGTGTGTGTGTGTGTGTGTGTGTGCGTGTGTGTCCAGTGGCAATTAGCTGTGGCAGCTGCTCCATTTGCTGCTCTGGCAGACAGTTGAGCCGCAGCACTTTGTCAATTATTATTTATTAATTGATGGCTTGCATATTTTCAGTTTTTATTTTTGAGTACACATTTGATTGATATTTCAATTTATGCTACGCATTCCTCAGACGAAACGATTAATCAAACGTAGGTCACAAATATTGCGCATACGCCAAGTTGTCCCGCCCAACTATATAACAATTAAGTATCATTTAGTTCGAATCGAGCTAGCGAAAAAACGCACAAGCACAAACAATAAAATGCTACAACAAAACGCATTATCAAAACAATAAACAATTGATGGCATTTCACTTAGGCCAGCAGCAAGACGAGTCCAAAGCAGAAACAGAAACCGAAACAGGCCGCAAGCATAAAGCAGAAATCAATAAAAACAAAACAAAACACAAAACGCACACAAGAGCTGAAGTCGAAGAAGAAGAAGAAGAAGAAACAAGAGGCGGCAAATAAATAAAAATTGCTTTATTTATTAAGCATTAAACAATAAATGGGATTATTTTTATCAGCAGACCAAAGAGATGTCACAGCACAAGCAAAACAAAGCGACGAGAGAGCGAGCGAGAGGGAAGTGGTGGTAGAGGGGCACAGCAGAAGTGCGTGTAAGCAGTAAAGAGCTACTCAATCTTCAGGCGCTGCGACAATAACAATTGCTAACATAAAGCGCTGGGGAAGGGGGGCGAAGAGACGAGAGAGAGAGAAAACACACAAATAAATAAATGCAAATCATTTTCTGTAGCCCCCCCCCCTCTCTCTCTCTCCCACAAACCAGCTCGCCCACGCTCTGGAGTGTGCTCGGGTACCGCAAACTTGCAAGTGCGTGTTGTCGCCTGCAGAAGGGCGAGGGAGGAGTGGGGCGATGTTTGAGGCTTTACAGTGTGCCCAAGTTGTGGCAGAGGCTTAATAACTAGCTGGCCTGGACACACGAGAGCCACCCAACCACCCACTCGCAACTCATTTGAATTTCCTTTTGTTTCATTCTTTTTTTGTTGGCCACTTACTTTTTTTGTTTGGTCTTTCATTTTATTTCAGCAAATTTGTAACTGTCACTTGGTTCTGGTTCTTTTTTTCTATGCTTTTTATAGGCACAGGAATCTGCATGCTCCGGCTCTTTGTGGAACCGGTTCGCTTACGGCGAACTTTGTGCGTGTTCCGATGAGTGTGTGCGAGTGTGTGTGTGTTGTTTTTTTTTTTTGTGCAAAGTTGAAAGTTGGGTAGCAAAAGGTAGCACAAGTTTCGCAAAGTGACAAATAGATTTAAATTCGAAAATGCTTTTTGTTTGTCGCTATTTTTTATGGGAGCACCAGTTCAATTTGTGGGGCCGGGCGTGTGAGGGGGAAGGGGGGGGGGGGGGGGGGGGGTGTGCTTGGAGCATGTCATGTAAAGCACTATTGACGGCGGTCGTAAATCTTTGTAAAAGTGTTTTGTAACCCTTGTCAAGCAGAGCAGGGCAAAAGGGCGCCAGGGCAAAGGGGCAACGGGGCAGACGGGGCAGCGGGGGCAACCAGGGAGGCGGGCGTGCAAATTCGGAGCTTGAGCCGGAAAATCAGTTAAAAGCGATTTAAAAGGCCCGTCAAGCACTTGTGATATTGCGAATGAAGTGAGAAAAACTAAGTTTTACCTTATTTCTCGCCCCTCTTTTGTTGTTGTTGTTGTTGGGAAAGTCAAGTTTGTTAACGTTAAATATGCTTATCGAGCAATATAACTGGCACGCAAATTTAATTATCATCTTTAATCATTCAGCATTAACTTAATTAACAGGGTGAGTTTTAGAGAACAGCATGCATACATTAAAACTAATTACTATCTAGATACGACCTTTCAACCTTGGACATGCTTAATTATAGATCAGCTGAATTTTGAATTTAAACTGAAAATGCGTTCATCTTTGAATTCTGCGTAATGCTGCCTCCCACTTTGCTGGCGTTTTTCTAGTGTGTATTTTCATAGATTTCCACGGAACCAAAAAATATGCTGAAACAATTAAACGAGGCACAAATGTTCACAGCTTGGCTCTTGGCCCTTGACGCTTGGCGCTCTATCACGCCATCAGAAACACATCCATCGAATTGCATTTACAAATTAGCATTCTAATGGGCCACGGCCCATGGCACGGCATGACAATTATGACGCCGCCTTTTGTCTATGTCTGTAAGCCCCTGCATTTCTCATTTCTCTGGAATAGCGTTTAGACGTGGCCATTCATTGTCGGAGACCTTTGCGTGCTGGCCAATTCAAATGAGGCTCAATTGTTTGCATTCGGCTGAGGTTTCACTGTAGCTCAATTTACCAGCCTCTGCAATTTGAGTTGCACTTGCGATTCCGTGGAATATGCTTATGAATGAAGACGCCAGCGACAACTAGGCTGATCCAGATCAGCTTGCCACTTGCCACTTGCCACTCGCCACTTGCCACTTGCCTCCCCGCAGCTGGTGTCAGTTGGCAGCGTGGAGGCTGTTTGTTAGCCCGGCGACTGCAACGCGACCAAAAAACCGGTTATCCAAAAACAAAAAAATAAAAAACAAATAAAAAAAAAATGATAAAAAAAATATACGAAAAATTCTTGACTTGTTTCACATACACAAAACGAAGTTTATCTTTTGGCTCTCTGGTTCTCTGGTCGTCTGCTTCTTCTTCTTCAACTCTTGTTGTTGTTTATAAAAATTCTTTGAAATGCACACAAAGAATCTCCCATACACACACACACACACACGCACACAAAATTACATTCACTTATTTTTTCTTGTTGTGTTCTCTTTTTCTTTTACTTTTTTAATTTTTTATATGGCTCTTTGGTTGGCTCTGTGGCATTTTCTTCCGCTCCGCTCCGCTGCATCGAGACCTAAAGGAGCGGCTCCCTCTCCCCCCCTCTCTCTCTCTCTCTCTCTCTCTCTTGCTGCCGGCTAGTAGCTTGGTTTGTTTAGAGTTTTGGTCGGTGCTTTTAAACGCAGCCAGTTTGAAGTGGCCGTGGTGCAAGCATGCATGTGAAAATGCAACCTAAGCCGGCCCCTAGAATGCAGAAGCAGGTTGGTGGGAAGGCGGGGGGATATGGGCAGGGTAGGGAGCTGCAGCCAGTTGGAAAGGGCAAACCCGGTGCGGTTGATGACTTGCGCCTGGCTCTCGCTTTCGGGCCCCGCAGAGACTGACTGACTCTGGCGCTGACTTTGACTTTGGCACTGGTTAGACTGGCTGGCTGGTTGGCTGGATGGCTAGCTTTTTGACTAAACTGGGTCTGGATTAGGGGCAACACCCCGTTGCCCCCCCGCTGCAGCCACAGACTCTCTGTGCTCGCTTTGACTTTGACTGACGGTCGCTTCTCTCTGATGTTCGGTTTGGCTGCATCGACAAAGAGAGTGTGACCAGCGCGGTCAAGTTTCTACATTACAAGCTGGCTTTACAAGCTGTTGCTAATTTATCCTGTAGATAATTAGAGTGCTCGTAAAATTAGTTGATTAGTTGTCCAAAGGAGGAAAAAGAATCTCAGAAGCGAAGAGCACAATCTCTGGACTTTTGATTTTTAATGTGAAAACCTTGATTATACAAGCATTAAAACTGCAAAAATTAAATATTAATCGAATAAAATGCATACTAAAAACGAATGCGACTTTTAGTATAATAATTATCCTACATCAAAAATCAAGCGTCTGACAAATTTAGTTTCTAACTAATGCGACTAGGATCTCGGTCACAGAGATTTGTGGGTACTCGATTCGTGCAGCGGATCACTTGAGATTCTTTATGAGTGCTTTGGTGTATTCGGAACACTTGGCCTTGCCGCCCAGGTCTACGGTGCGCACGTTGTCCACCTTGATGGTTTTAAGGACGGCCTGCTCGATTTTATCGGCATAGGGAGTCAAATCGATGTAGCGCAACATCATGGCGGCCGAGAGTAGCAGGGCCGTCGGATTGGCCAGATCCTTGCCAGCTATGGTCGGCGCTGTGCCGTGAACAGCCTCGAAAATGGCGCCGCTGGTGCCGATGTTGGCGGAGGGCGTCAGGCCCAGGCCGCCAACGAGACCGGCGCATGTGTCCGACAAGATGTCGCCATAGAGATTGGGCAAGACGAGCACATCGAACTGCCTGGGATCGGCCACAATCTTGAGACAGACCGTGCTGATGGCCGCCTCCTCGTAGACGATGCCCTTGCTCTTCAGCTGATCCTTGTATTTCTCATACACTTCGCGCACACAGTTGATAAACAAACCGTCCGACATACGCATGCTGGAGCGCTTGTGCACCGCGGTGATCTTCTTGCGATTCATCATGATCGCATACTTGAAACAGTAGTCGGCGACGCGTAACGAGGCGGCCCGTGTGATGAGCTTGATGCTCTGCACGACCCCGTTGACCAACTGATGCTCAATGCCTGAGTACTCGCCCTCTGTGTTCTCGCGTATGGTTATGATATCCACGTCGCCGTAGACAGTCTCCACGCCCTCCAGCGAGCGGCACGGACGCACATTCGCGTACAGGTTGAACAGCACGCGCAGTGTCAGATTCAGGGAGCGAAAGCCTTTGCCCACCGGCGTCATCAGCGGACCCTTCAGGCCCAGCTTGGTGCGTTGCATGCTCTCAATAACAGCTTCCGGTATTGATGTCCTGCCCTCTTTGTCCATCACAGGCGTCACGTCGACTGGCTCAAATACGAGTGGCGCCTGAACTGCCTTCAGTACCTCCAGCACGGCCAGCGAGATCTCCGGGCCAATGCCATCGCCGGGCATCAAAGTTATGACGCGTGGCTGTCCCCCATTTCCCCCCTTTCCCCCCTTTCCACCCTTTCCACCCTTTCCACCCTTGCCACCCTTGCCACCCTTGCCACCCTTTCCACCCTTTCCACACGTTCCGCCCTTGCCTGAGGAGGCGCCACCGTCGCCTCCAGCTGGGCCACGTACAGCGGGCAGCTTGCTGCCCTTTTCTGACCCGGATGGTCCTGGTGGTGGTGCTCGTGGTCCTGTTGGTCCTGATGGTCCTTGTGGTGGTGGTGCTCGTGGACCTGTTGGTCCTGTTGGTCCAGCTGGTCCCATTGGTCCAGCTGGTCCTGTTGGACCTGCTGGTCCTCGTGGGCCTGTTGGTGGCTTTTTGTTTGTTCCGCAGGGGTCTTCACCTGCTCCCACAGAAACGAATAGCGGCTCTGTGCTGAAATGCTGCCGGGGGGGTGGGATCCGACGTGGTTCGAGCACCTCGATCACCTTAAGGACCCGCTTTTGGTTTTGGTTGTCCAGCTTCGTCGGTCTTCCGCGGCGCACACGGATGGGGCAAACCCGTCGCCTGGCCGGCTGCTGCTTCTCATCCGGCGGACGTCTACGCGGATGACGACACGTGACCGACTCACTGCGACTCTCACGAGCGAACATGGTTACGCTTCGCTGGCTAACCGACATCCGGGCCTCGGAAGCGCCCCCGGCACACCAGCTCCCGGCTGGTCCACGGAGCGCACAGCTGGCGAGCGACTGCTGTCGACATAACAGGGCGACGGTGAAAAACTTGCGAGACATGCCCAAGAAATTTTGCAAACGATCTTTCCAAAAAGTATATATCAAAGGATCTTCCAAATATTCTAACAAGTATAGAGAGTACGACTGTAATCTGGATGTTTAGAATGCCAAGCAATGTAGGCGCCTACTCAAATGAACGAGAACTAGAGCTCGATAAGGAAATCAATTTCTAATTCATGAAATTATATTATTTTATGCTCTTTAAAAATAAGTAGAAGATTAATTAATGAAGTTGGATACGAGAATCTGTTACAAATATCTGAAATTCAATACAGTTGCCGGAATACTTCCTCTTTTAATATGAAAATTTGATTGAATAAACAAGTTGGATAGGAAAATCTGATTATTTCCTAAAGAAAGCCTCCGTTCAGTTGCTGGAATATCCCAAACGTGTTGCTTGAAGCTCTTTTAATATTAAAAAGGTGTCTTCTTTTTTTGGGGGAAAAGTAAAATTTGAGTATCTGTTTATAATTTCCGAAAGAAAACTTGCGTTCCGTTGCCGGAATAGCCGAAATATGTTGCCTAACGCTCTTTTAATATTTTTAAATTTGGTAGCTGTTTCTTTTTGTTAATGCTCTTGAAAAATTCATTTTGTCGCACAAAATGGTGGAAGTCAACACTTGGCCAAAATCCGGCCCGCCCGCCTGGCCACACGCCCGGGCAATTTGCATAGCTTTTAGCCGGGCGTCTTGTGCATTCGCAGGGTCCACAATTTTTTATGGCTAGTTTCGCTTTTTTGTCGGCGCCTCAAAACTTTGGCGACTGGCACCGCCGAAAAACTTTCACAAATGCAAACACGCGACGCGCCTGGGACAACTAGGACATCGGGCGGGAGGACGCGTCGCCTGGTAACCCTTACGGGCTGGCGCGGAAATTATTTTCATTAAAGTGAAATTATTGCGGGAAAGGCCAATGCGGCGTCTATGTCGACTTCTGTGATTCGCTTCTGGGTTAAGAGCTAGCTAATTAAATTAGTTTTGCGACTGCAATTCCATTTGCCATTCGCAAATGCTTTTTGAAGGTCGGCCATTTTGCTTTGCTTTAATTGAAAAAGTTGCCCGAAAAGGGGGGAAATGGTTTAATATGGGCCACAATTTAATAATAGCACGAGAGTCGCGACGAAATTAGCTGCCAAAGGTAATCAAATTATGCGGAGCTACCGCGACACACCTGCAAATGCGATGCTATGCCACGCCACGCCCTAACGCCCACGTGCGCGCAAAGTTTTCATTTTTCAAGCTGTTGTCATTTGGCATAATCATATTTCAACGGATTAGCATAATTTAAGCACACAAAATATTAATAATGAAAAGTGAATGGCTCTCGGCTTCGAGCTCAACACACACACACACACAGAGAAACACGCACACACACACACACATACACACAACAATCAGCCACGCCCCCAAGCTCGTTGACAATAATATTAAAATTTTCCTACTGTTCTGGGGGCAATAACAAAGTGCCCCTGCGCTTTTATTTGTTTTGTTCTTTTCAGAGGGAATTAGAATAATACCCTAATAGATGGTATACGACTCGGGGTAGGAATTATGTAACTCCTATTTGTTGGTCTATTTGACTATGTTAGCTAATGATCCTATATTAATGTCCAAGTTCCCTTTCATACATTTAATACGAGTATATACTTCCCTTTTATCTATGGCTGTTAGCGGGATTTAAAACGTGCTGGTTCAAACCCGGAATTTTTCTATGAAGCAGTCAGTTGTCTAAACAAAATGGCTTAGTTTATATTTTTAAATACATAATTCATTATAAATTCAAGGGAGATCTGGCTTAAAGGTTGCTTAAGGGCAGCGCCGCGCTTCGAACCAGCAACCTTTTCTTGCCTTTTGCAGCCCTACATGCTACACACTGCAGCTCCAGCCCTGGTTTTGAGTTAAGTGTCTCTTATCTTTGATCTAACTCAGTTCCGTAAGGGTATTCCATCTTCTGCCCAGCACAGACATCTGCTCCGACCTGCCAGTTCTTTTACAAGCATTTATATTCATATTTGGTAATATATCTGACTCTCCCGCGCCTTTGCATGTTTTGTTTTTTGTCTGGCATATTTGGCGTGGGGTTGCTTTTATGTTTTTTCACTGTATTTGCGTTTTAGTTGAAGTTCGTGTTGGTGTTGGCGTTGAGCGCCTCGCAATTGTTGTTAAATGATTGATGGTCTCTTGGAAAGGTCGCTCCCACACACTCACACACACACACACACACACACTTGGATCACACTCAGCTATTATTTACACATTATATTATGCGATATTATAATTTGAGCCAGCGAAACGCCAAGCTGTCTAGCTGGGCGTCAACTAACCACCGAGCTGTGCCGATAGCCAGTCCGGCATAGATAATTATTCGTTGTACTCTGTTTGTTCTGGCGATAAGCCGAACCGAATACAAAATTGAACTGAATACGCACCTGCAAAGATAGAGCGAATAGATACAAATTAGTCGAGGAGGAAATGACAAATTATGAATGGTTCAAAAATACGGAAAGTGTGAGAAATGAGGTTAACTTTGAAATGAATACATTTGAATATAAGACAACATTTGAATATAAGATCTTATCTTTGTGAATCAGTTTAAAGCCTAGCTAGTTAATTGAAGTCTTTTAATTATTTTGTAACAAAAACCAAACTAGATTTATTTTTCCAAAAATAGTTTTGGTTTTATATCAAATACCTCGGCATGAGACCCAGCTACAAAGCATAAATAGCCTGCGCCACAGCCAAGGCAATTATCTAACCATATTTTTGGTTAGATATCAAATTTAGCGCGCAATTTGTGCATGAAAATGTGCACAATATGCAATATTTTCAGTAAAACATGCGCGCAATAACGAAATAATAATTTAAATGTTAAATTATATTTGTATAAACAAATGACTAATTAAATTTGCAGTTTAAAGCAAGGCTCAAGAGCTAGTTCACGGACCAAACTTTAAGGCAGACAGTTTGTTTGAACCGTGAACCGATCTCTTGGGTTTGCACCGCTTGCTGTTAAGCCAGGGCTGCAAATCTACGAATAAAACTGATTTGAAACTAAACTTTGAGGCAGGCAGTTTGTTTGAAACGTGAACCGAACCAATAATAGTTCATTCTTTAGGTTCGCAGCCCTTGATATTAAACCAGGGCTGCAAATCTATGAATACAACTGATTCGGAGCTAAACTTTTAGGCAGACAGCTTGCTTGAACCGTAACCCGAACCATTCATTCTTTTAGGTTAAACCAGGGCTGCAAATCTATAAATAAAACTGATTTGGTTCATGAAGAGCTAAGTTCTTTTTGACTTAAACGAATTGCGTGCTCTTCTTCTTGCGCACACAATTTGTTTGTCTCACAATTCCATACAAATAAGTGTATTTTTAACAGTTTTTTGTTTTTGTTTACACTTACTTCATTTAATGTTTAGATTTGCGCTTAGTGTGCGAAAACGAAACCAAAGTCAATAAACCGTCTAAACGTACAAGAACAACAACAACAACAACAACAATAAAAGCAGAAACCACAAAAATCTGCCAAACAAATATGGAAAGAAAGAAGAAGCAGAAGTCAAGTGTGGTCTTTAATGGTGGAGTTTGCCAAAGATTGAGGTGGCGAGTGTTGTGCGTAGGGCGTGGCACCTTGGCCGGTGCATGCTATTGAATTAAGTTAGATAAGCAAACAAAATAGAGAGAGAGAGAGAGAGAGGGGGGGGGGGGGGGAGAGAGAGAGGGAGAAACACAAGTTATTTAGGTGCGCAAAAATTGAAATCTGTTTCATGTTTTTGTATATTGTTTTTTTTTTTTGGACATGTTGTTGCCTGCGCTTAAAAAAGAAATCACTCAAATATTTATTATTGTTATTGTTGGTGTTGTTGTTGTTGTTGTTGTGTTCTTGTTGTTGGTTGTCGTGCTGTGGTAACAAGACGCCGCCAACGCCATATTAGCCCTGGCTTTTCATGCCATTTACAAGGCAATACACACAATTTGCTCGCCTTTTGCCTTTTCATTCAGTTGGCGTACAAATCTTTTGTGCTGACCAATTCAATGTTGGCCTTTTACTTATTGTTGTTGTTATTGTATCTCGTCATAGGTTGATTTATTAGCCTTAGGTGCAAATAATTGATTTATGCGACGCAAACAGTGTGCGATGTGTGTGTGTGTGTGTGTGTGTGTGAGGAGCTTCTCCCCGACTCTTGGCTGATAAGACAGAAATGGCAACAAATAGCACTTAGACGCAGTAGACGTGCAGAAAGGTAATTAGATAAATGAAAGCAAGCTGATAAGCTGATAAGTTGCCACTCGAATGTATCTGAAAGATACCACAAAACACACACAGATACTATGTAATGGAAACACATTTAAATCAGATCGAATAATCATAATGCGACCTGTGTAATCTTCTGTGCGCATAACTAACGATAGAGTTGGAGAGCGGAAATGCCCAGCTATACAATGCATATATATATATACATATAGATAGTTGGATGCCGGCTACTTTTGTTGATTTGGATGCTGTGCACACTTCACTAGGCATTAACCTTTTCTTTTTCCGTGAACATGAGCATGTTTCATGGCATCCATGAATCAAAAAATAAATATAAAGAAGAGAAGAAAACAAAAACCCAAACCGAGGCAAGAATGAAAGAATCCGGTGACGCTTGTATCTCATGCCCTCTCATACCTGGGTTCATTGGAAAACGGCGATTACGCGGCACAAAAGCCATGAAGGCAAACAATGGACAGCAGCAGCAGCAGCAAAAGAAGAAGCAGCAGCAGCAGAAGAAGAAGGTAACACGCCAGCGGCAACTCGAACTGCTGCTGCATCATCGTTATAAGAGGCGCAGAGGCGTGGCATTACATAAGCATGAGTGGCCCAGCGACATTGACCAAAGCGAATCGGCCAAAATGACTGGAAAATTGTATCAAACACACATGCACACGCACACACACACACACACACACACACACACACACACACACACTCGCACACACAGATACACGCAGCAAATGCAACTCAATCGCTGTCTGCAAGTTCTCGCATTTGTTTGCTCGATCAATTTACTTGTGAAATGTTTAAAAATAGCTACAAGCAAGGCAGGTACAAGCGTGA